AATTACTCACTATCTACACACACATTATCCCGTCACGTTGTCACCCTCTTTTATATACCAGACTACCCTATATCTAGTAAATGCTAGAGCATTTGCCCAGGTACAGGATAGTTCTAGAAACGTGGCGTGACACTAGTCATGTGACTTTGCTGACGCAACAGTATAAATGTTATATATACTTGTAAAATAAAAGGTATAAATGTTATATACACTTGTAAAGTAAAAGGTACAAATGTTATATATACTTGTAAAATAAAAGGTATAAATGTTATATATACTTCTAAAATAAAAGGTATAAATGTTATATATACTTCTAAAATAAAAGGTATAAATGTTATATATACTTCTAAAATAAAAGGTATAAATGTTATATATACTTCTAAAATAAAAGGTATAAATGTTATATATACTTCTAAAATAAAAGGTATAAATGTTATATATACTTGTAAAATAAAAGGCATAAATGTAATATATACTTGTAAAATAAAAGGTATAAATGTTATATACACTTGTAAAATAAAATGTATAAATGTTATATATACTTCTAATATAAAAGGTATAATTACTCTTAACAATTTAAATTCTGCACTAGATGCAGGACAAATAATATCATAGGAGTAAAATTATAAATAAGTTACACAGTCGTGAACACAGCTTGAATATAATGGAGGCTATTTCATTAATATGTTCACAAAACTAGAAAGAATTTTTATAATAATTGAAAAAGCTTATTGTTAGATTTTATGAAAATTAACTTAAATTCAGTTTTAGCTTTTTATATAAAGCTATATATATAAACATGACTGTTCAAAACATGAGTAATTACAATGATAAAGCATTGAGGGAAATTGCCTTCAAGGTCTCATATATATGCAAGGCCAGACATTTACAAAGTTTTCACAAAAGTCATTGTTTAAAAAGCCTTATCAATCTTTTTATAGATAAAACATTGCTTACCGAATGATAGTATGCCTCTCACGGTTCACAATATCTTTGTCTGTTGTAAAGAGAATAGTGTGGTAAGTCGAGTTGCCAGCTCCTTGTCGAACTTGGGCCAGGACTCCATTATACACCAGAAGGTCATCCACTAAAAGCTATAAGAAAGAGTATTCTATAAACAAGAAGTCAAATAATGTTAGACCTCAAGAAGTGAATGGAAGCAGATTTGTTAATGTAAATTTAGGATGACTTTGAAATATTAATTATCCCATTCCTTGTGTAACACCTTTAATATTACAGCTGTTAAGAAGGGAAATGAAAATTTTTCAACCATAAATTATTACCCAAAAACAACACACAATTCACCAGCTGTGTTATTACTGACAAGAAAGGGCCTTAAATCATGCTACTAATAAGTCTCTAAAATTATAACGTATGAAAACTGAAAATACAATTTGGCAAAAGATGGGGGATAAGGTCAGTGTTAAATTATTACAGTAGTCTAACGATAGTTGGCTGTGAAGTAGTTAGCATCAATCTTTCAGTATTCATGATAGTATGTATGTATGTTAAGATAAGGTCAATGTTAAATTATTACAGTAGTTAATTAATAACTATAATAGTAGTTAATATAATAATTTTTATTATTATATTATTTTAACAATAGCATTGGAAGTTTTGTGAACCATTGTCATTTCTTTTGAAAGAAATTTCAGATCAACAAATTGTGTTTCAGACACATTTTTTAGTGTTTTCTTGTGAAATCTAACAACTTGTTTACATCAATTGTAAAACAAAAATGGCAAGTGAAAAAAGCCACCAAAACGTTTTACTGCTGAGCAACCAGTGAGTCTGTTCAATCAGTTAGATGAAGGATGAGTGATGACAATGGTGATTCTAATCAGTTAGATGAAGGGGGAGTGATGACGATGGTGATTCTGATCAGTTAGATGAAGGGAAGTGATGATGATGGTGATTCTGATCAGTTAGATGAAGGGGAAGTGATGATGATGGTGATTCTGATCAGTTAGGTGAAGGGGAGTGATGACGATTCTGATCAGTTAGATGATGGGGGGAGTGATGATGATGGTGATTCTAATCAGTTAGATGAAGGGGGAGTGATGACAATGCTGATTCTAATCAGTTAGATGAAGGGGGAGTGATGACAATGCTGATTCTAATCAGTTAGATGAAGGGGGAGTGATGACAATGGTGATTCTGATCTTGAGTTTGAAAGAGACTCTAGGGATGAAAGCGACTCAAAACAGTCATTGAGACTCAGTTCCAGTATTTCTTAATCAGCTGATTAGAGGGGGGCCATTGCCCAAATCAGGACCCAGTGGTACAAAGAAGCCATGAAAGCAAGCCCCAGCTAGAAATGATCCACCGCCTAGATCTACATCCACTACCAGAGCCACAGATAATGAATGTGCTGAGGTAGATCTGCAAGATAGGTGAACCACAAATAATGACTTTGAGATTTTGCTGAAGAATAGGCATAATCCTAGTGTACACATTGACATAAATGAAAACTCAATGCCCCTCAACGGTTTCAGACCTCTGTTTACACAAGATGTAAGTAACACTCTCATCACTGCTATCACTGAGAATACTAATGCACAAATTACAAAGAAAATGCCTGCTCAGAGATGGTCGAGGTATTAGAAGTGAAATGCCTGCTAGGAGACGGTCGATGTATTAGAAGTGGAATCTCTTTACCCACTATGAGCTGCTGAAGTTTCTTGTGAAGATTTCATAAATGGGAATCGACAAACAACCTAACATTAGAGACTACTTTGCTACCCACCAGTCTCTCTACACACTTTTTTATCACCAAATGTTCAACATGGAGAGGTTTGAGGCTATTAACTCAACAATAATTCATGTGGGTACCCCTTATGCTGAAAGATAAACAAAATTAAAAAAATTGAAATTTTTATAAAGTATGGTGATGATGATTATTATTAGGAAATCCTGAAAGTAATTCTGGCAGAATGAATAAAAATTATGGATTTAAAGAGTTAATATACCAAACGGTAAAGGACTGGATCTGTTTGTTAATATGCCAAACAGTAAAAGACTGGTTTTGTTTGTGAATATACCAAATGGTAAAAGACTGGTTTTGTTTGTGAATATACCAACTTGTAAAAGACTGGTTTTGTTTGTGAATATACCAAACGGTAAAAGACTGGTTTTGTTTGTTAACATACCAAATGGTGAAAGACTGGTTTTGTTTGTTAATATACCAAACAGTAAAAGACTGATTTTGTTTATTTTGTCTTTTAGAGCAATGCTTCATTGGGATATCTGCTGTGTGTCTATCACATGGAATCGAACCCTGTATTGTAGTGTTGGAAGTACGTAAGCCTTCTGCTATCCCACCAGGAGACACAAAAGGTTGGTAAAATAAATAAAATTATAAAATCATGGTATTTCTGAAGGTGGTTTAATTAAGGGCTAAGTATTCTACTTTAACCCTGATGAAAAGAGAAGTACACCTAAGGATTCTACTTTAACCCTGATGAAAAGAGAGGTCCACCTAAGGATTCTACGTTAACCCTGATGAAATGAGAGGTCCACCTAAGGATTCTACTTTCACCCTGATGAAAAGAGAGGTCCACTTAAGAATTCTACTTTAACCCTGATGAAAAGAGAGGTCCACCTAAGGATTCTACTTTAACCCTGATGAAAAGAGAAGTCCACCCAAGGATTCTACTTTAACCCTGATGAAAAGAGAGGTCCACCTAAGGATTCTACTTTAACCCTGATGAAATGAGAGGTCCACCTAAGGATTCTACTTTAACCCTGATGAAATGAGAGGTCCACCTAAGGATTCTACTTTAACCCTGATGAAATGAGAGGTCCACCTAAGGATTC